ACAAATATCACATTCAATAGCAAACTGTTTAACATTTCATGAGGCTTTCAGTCATTCTGATGACACATTTTGAATATTTAAACAGATTTACATTTGTTTATTTAGGTGTGTGTGTGTGTGTTCATGTGGAGGTCACAGGGTGACTTGTGGGAATTGGTTCTCTCCCATAACTTTGTGGGTTCCAGGGATTGAACATAGGTCATCAGGCTTGGCCACAAACTCCTTTCCCAGATGAACTGGCCCACTTGCAAGTGTTTTGAGAAAAAATTATTTTTCAAGACAGGCTTTCCCTGTGCTTTGGAGGCTGTCTTGTCCTGGAAATAGCTCTTGTAGACCAGGCTGGTCTTGAACTCACAGAGATCACCTGCCCCTGCCTCCCAAGTGCTTGGATTAAAGGCGTGCGCCACCAATGCCCAGCGAATTTTGAGGAAAAAAATGGGGGGGGAGTGTTTCGAGACAGGGCTTCTCTGAAACTTTAAAGCCTCAAAACATCTTGGAGCTGGGCAGTGGTGGTACACGCCTTTAGTCCCAGCACTTCAGAGGCAGAGGTAGGCGGATCTCTGAGTTCGAGGACAGTCTGGTCTACAGAGCAAGTTCTAGGACAGCCAGGGCTGTTACAGAGAAACCCTGTCTCAGAAAGAGAGAGAGAGAGAGAGAGGAGAGAGAGAGAGAGAGAGAGAGAGAGAGAGAGAGAGAGAGAGAGAGAGAGAGAGAGAGAGAGAGAGAGAGAGAGAGAGAGAGAGAGAGAGAGAGAGAGAGAGAGAGAGAGAGAGAGAGAGAGAGAGAGAGGAAGGGGGAGGGAGGGAGGGAGGGAAGAAGGAAGAGAAAAGAAAAAGAAAAACTTGGAAACTGCTCACACATGCAGCTCCTAGCCAAACCTCAGTAGTGATGGCTGTTTGCACATCTGTCACCTGTGGGCTTTCTTTTGGGAATCATTTGGTGACCACAGAACTGGGGATACTGTTTATTCAGATCTGACCTTTATTCAGTCAATTGGCCCCACATGATTAGTCTGACAATACTTTAAGTTAAGCAAAATTGCAACAATGCTGTTTTCAAGCTATGAAGATGGCAGTTCTGTAGTTTTCATACTTTCTATTCCCCACCTGAAACACTGTGTTTGCTTCCCTGGACTGCTGAGCCTGGGTTCCACAAATGGGTAGCCTAGAATACCAGCAAGTGTTGCCGGGAGTCCTGGGAGAAAAGACCCAAACTCACAGTGCCAGCATGACTTCTCACACCACCTCAGACTCTGCCAGGGAAGGCTCTGCTGTGGCTCCTTTCTAGCTCCTAGTGGTCACCCAATCCTGACAGCACACCTCCGTTCTTCACCCCGGGTCCTCACTGTGTGTCTAAGGGATGCCAAGTCATAATGGAGGTTGAGCTGGCCTGTTCCATCATGACATCTCTGTAACCAATCTCTTCCGTTGTGATCTATTTCCCAAGGAGTTTTACCTTCTGAGTTCTGTGCCTTGAAGGAGGAGGGATGGAGGGAGGGTGGGAGAGAGGGAGAGAGGGAAGGAGGGAGGGAGGGAGGGAGGGGACAGAGAGAGTGTGGTGTGTGTTGGTGTTGGTATGTGGAGGCACACGTGTGTGTGTGGTGGCCAGATAACCTTGGGTGTCACTTCTAAGATGGATGAATCCATCCATTTGGAAACAGTTTGTCATTGGTCTAGAACTCACCAAGTAGACTAGGCTTACTAGTTAGAAAGTCCTGAGGGATCTGCCTGCCTCTGCCCCCCTCCCGCTACCTCCACGGAGATTGTAAGGGTACTTTCATGGTTTTTATTTTTATGTGGGTTGATGATCAAATTCATCCTTGTTCTTTAAAGCATTTTATGGACTAAGCGTCTCCCCAGCCCAGTCATGGGGATTATGAGGGTCATAATTCAACGCATAGCAAATTCCTCCTGCTCTTCCTCCAGGCCACTGTTAGCCTCTGCTTTTTCCTCTGAGAACTCTGCCTTGTGGCCCCTTCCATACTGTGACCCTGCCTGTCCTCCAGTGACACCCTTACTCCATGCACCTGGCACAGTGACCTTCCGCTGGCCCAGTGGCACACCCTTACTCCAGGGTGCTAAAGCACTCTCTTTGGTCTGTGTGTCCCCCTAGCCCCGGCATAGGTGTTCCCAGAGCTCAGGGAGTAGCCACAGTTCCCCTGGCTTCAGACTCCATGGCTGGTATGTGGAGATGCTCAACAGGGCCAGAGACAAGAGGAATGAGAAGTGAGTACAGGCAAGACCTGCCCCAGAAGCCACAAGGGTGTGTCCCATAGCCCCAGCAGCCACAAGGGTGTGTCCCATAGCCCCAGCAGCCACAAGGGTGTGTCCCATAGCCCCAGCAGCCACAAGGGTGTGTCCCATAGCCCCAGCAGCCACAAGGGTGTGTCCCACAGTCCCAGCAGCCACAAGGGTGTGCCCCACAGTCCCAGCAGCCACAAGGGTGTGCCCCACAGTCCCAGCAGCCACAAGGGTGTGTCCCATAGCCCCAGCAGCCACAAGGGTGTGTCCCATAGCCCCAGCAGCCACAAGGGTGTGCCCCCATAGCCCCAGGCTATATCACCCGCGTTTCCTGTTGAGAGGAGTTGCTGGTCAAGGCACTGTGTTTGCTAGGAGATAATAGCAGGGAACCAGAGGGATTCCATCAGAGGCTTGGAATCCTATAGGTCATGTGCTGGGATTCAGGTCTTAGTTCAGTGGCTCTCAACCTGTAGGTTGTGACCCCTTCGAGATTGAACCTCCCTTTCACAAGGGGTTACCTGAGACTTTTGGAAAACATGGGTATTTACATTGTGGTTCATAACAGTAGCAAAGTTACAGTTATGAGGTAGCAATGAAAATAATTTCATGATTGGGGTCACCACAACATGAGGAACTGTATTAAAGGGTCAGAGCATCAGGAAGGCTGAGAACCTCTGTAAGTGCACTAGCCCTCTTGACACCACAGAGATATGTCATCATCCATTTTAGATACAGGCATCCAAGTTAAGTGACTCCTGCTGGTGACATGGGCTACTCCCAAGGAGTGTGCATTGGTCTCTCTGCTGTGTCGTCTGGTACCTCAGCTTGCTTCTCCTGAGCTCGGGTTGTGCCTTCAGTCATCGTGTTCTGGGGCATCCATAAGCTAGTCTGTGGGAGCGCCACTGTGTATGGAGTTCCCCTACTCCACCTCCTGTCACCCCCATCATCGCGCCCTCCCCATCCTCCTTTGCCTGGAGGACTCGGGAGGCCATCTGCTGCTAGGATGGCCCACTTGGCCTATTATGATCTCAGTGGTCATCTAGGCCCCGCCCTCCATCCACCTGCCTCAGCTGAAGCTAACAGTGCTGTGGCGCAGGCAAGCTGATGAAAAGATGGAGGGATGGAAGAGCAGGCCTGTTGCTGCCATTGGCCTTCCTGCTGCCCTGGGCACATAGCTCCCTGGCATGTAGGTCTCTGGGGACCCTGTGGCTCAGTCCCTAAAGGGTGGTAAAATCGCTCAGAAGCTAGTTCCAAAGGCAAGTTCCCAGAGGGTGCTGATTCAACAGCTGGAGGGGCAGGACTTAGGAATCTGAGGTAGCTAGTCCTTGACAAATGATTGTTGAGATTCTTATAACACCTGCCCTTTAAAGATGCTTGCAGGGAGAGCCTGGGCTAACTGGTGGTGGGGATGATGCTTTAAACATAAACATAGGAGCTGGACAGTTGGTTCAAGCCTCTAATCCACCAAGGAGGATGAGTCAAGAGGATCTCAGGTTCCAGGCTAGCCTAGGGCACAAGAGTGAGTTCAGGGCTAGCCTGGACAATTTAATGAGACCCTCTTCCCAATATCAAAAGTGAAAAGAGGGCTAGGGAATGTTCACACACAGGAAGAATGCTTACCCACCTCCAGTATGACAACAACAAAATCCTTGAGTAAACCTTGTTGGTTGTGTTCTTGTACAATGGTATGAGACAGACAAAACAGACTAGCATTGTGGAAAACTTGGGAGGAGCCAATTAAATCAACTAGTCAGCTAGGGTCTTTCTGTACTCACCACACTTGACCTTTCTGGTGGGGAGGCACATTTGCAAGCATAGGCCCTGCACGGGGAAGGAGCTTAGTACACTGCAAAGGCAGACTGGCCAGTATAAATAGGTTAGAGTGAGGGGAAAGAGTGCTTGGTGCAGAGATAAGAGACCCACAGGGCCCGATATGCCAGCCTTTGTCAAAATACTGAACTCGGAGCTCCTGGTTCCTCTAGACTGACTGGCCAGCAAGTTCCAGGGATCTGCCTGTCTTCACTTCCCCAGTGAGGGCACCACAAGGGTTCTGGGGGATCAAATTCTGGTCTTCATGCTTGTATGACAAACACTTTGTCAACTGAGCAATCTCCCCAGGCCTGTCTATTTTTGACAGTGACACTGATGGGTCAATCCCAGGGTCTAAATCTGGCAAGATGGTGTCCATCCACAGTGCCATGTGTACTACCATCAATCATGACTCAGTTCTGTTGCTGCATGGCTATGCAACCCCATCCAAGACCAAATGACCTTCCATTTGCCCTTAAGAGGTGTTTCTCAGGGCTGTGAGACTCAGAATCCCACCAGCAACCCAGCACTGCCCACCTGTCAGCAGAAACTACTGGCACTTCTGCTAAGCTTAGATGCACCATCAGACTTGATTGCCCAGAAGGTAGCAATAGTCACTACCTACTCGTCAGACCCAGCTCTCCAGGGAAGCCTTCCTCCCATGTCTGTCTTCAACAGGGTGGATGGGGTCTCAACAATTAATGGACTAGGACGTCTCAGGTTCACCCCATTAAGCAATCAATTAACCATATGCTACCAGTCCCAATAAGGCTTTTAAACATTGGATCGGTTGGGCAGTGTGTGGAATTCAGAAGCCTTGAGCAAGAAGGGAGCAGCTGGGTTTAGAAACAGTCACACTTAGCTGAAAGTCTGTCTCTGCAGCCTACTTCCATGTGAGCTTGAGTGATCTGCCTCTTTTTTTTGCCTGTAAAGTGGGGCTGCAGACACATCATGGAGGGGGCTTGTTGGGGTTATTAGAAATCCCTTGCTCACACGTGTAATACACTACCTGGCTCGGCAAAGATGCTCAAGAAGAGGCAGCTGTCGCCATGTTTCAAAAAGGTAAGACTGAAGTGAGTTATTTTGTGGATCCAACCTGACTTCCGATTATGTCATTCTGCACACATATTCACAAGTAGTCCTTTGAAATAAGGGTTAATTTCTCCCACCCCTGACGGACACGCCATTTTGACTGTGTAGGAATTGTAATGTTCCCTTGCCAGAATACCAGGTGTCTCCATCTGAGATTAGATTGTGGTGGTTCCTAGTGTGCTGGCTCCCACCCGGAAGAGTCAACATGCCTCCTTGACATGAGCAAGGCAGATGAGGCAGGGATTCCTGGATTTACTCTTCACATCTTCAAATGCACCGACACTTCTGCAGACCACCCACTCTCCTGCAAACCAGACGACACTTCTGTTGATCACCAACTCATCCTCTACTCTGGTTTCCCTGATTTGGGGACTGAAAGGGTTAATGCCTTGAACAAAGGCTCCGCAATCCCCAATTACCTTTTCAGGCCACTGGTGGTTCAAGGAATTTTACCGCTGATACTGAGATCGTTCATAATTATCCAGCCATTTCTACACTCATCTGGTCAACCCCCTCCCCACACATCTACCCACCACCTCCATCTATTCAGCCATCCAGCTTATAGTACTCTCCCTCTAGTACATCCACTTATCCCATAACTACGCTTTGGGTTCTTGCATCACACCGGCCTCTTTGCCTAGGCGGTGTGGCCCTGAGAGTTAGTCTCGGATGATGGCCTGATGACAATGGCATTCACACAATTCTTACAGGAAATTAAAGCAATATTTCTATCCCAGCTTTCTCTAGTCACAATCCCACCCCATGCGTCATCAGAGCCACCATCCTACCACACGTAATGCTCTTACACACACACTGCCATCTCTACCACATACACCCCACTAACACATGCCTGCTTCCTGGAGGGTTCAGGAAAACGTACATTCACTGTGTACAGTGGGACATGAGATCTACGGCATATTTCGGGGGACAGTGAGGCACAATTTTAAGAAAGGAATACCATAATACAAACTTAGGGGGAATAGCAAGATCCAGCTGCAGGCCGTGTGGTTTTGAGTATCCCTTCCCACAGCCCTCAAAGAATCATTCCAAGAAGCAAATGCCCAGTGTACTTCACACGCGTGTAGCGGAGCCCTCGAGGGACATGTGGTGGACTTGGACTATTCTGTAGGTCCCCTATCAATGTCCCTTTGCTGAGCCCTGCTGTCTGTGTGAGCAGGGAGAACAGGATTGTTCCAAGACTCCCAGACTCTACTTTTGGGTCCTAGAACTTTCCTCCCTCTCCCTCATTCCTTTTAGTAACATGTGGCCAGATAAGTGCCAGATCTGGACAACACCGCAGTGTTTCTGAAATCGTGGGAGGAGAACCTGCAAACATCTCAGAGTTCCCGTGGCATGTGGGGATTATGGAGCTTGGCAATCCTGTCTGTGGGGGATCTATTCTCAGTGAGTGGTGGATTCTAACGGCAGCACACTGCTTCGACCACGTCAACCAGTAAGTATTCTTGTAAGAAATGTATGTGTGTGCATGTGTGTGTGTGTATGTGGTGTGTTTGTGTGTGTAATGTGTGTGTGTGTGGTGTGTGTGATGTGTGTGGGTGTGGGTGTGTGTGGTGATAGTAGAGATAGAACCTAGAGGCCCATGTTGGGCAAGTGCTCTCTGCAGTCCAAACCTTCTTTTTAATTTTTATTTTGATGCAAAGTCTCACTAAGTTTCTGGTCTGGCCCTAACTCATTCTGTAGCTCTAATAGGCCTTGAATTTAATAATCCCCCTGCCTCAGCTTCCCAAGTAGCTGCCCCTGTAGCCCTGTGCCAAAAGGCTTAACTTAGAATTTTCTTCTTAACCAGTGTAGCTGAAAGCTTGTCCCAGATGCTGATGACCCTGGAACTGCATTCAACCAGCCACGTGACACCATGAGGCGCTAAAATGGCCTGTGTGGCTGAGTATACCACGTGACCTCTGGGAAGTGAACAGTTCCCCTCCCAGGATTCCGTACATCTTGCTGTGTGCCCCAGGCGTTGCATCTGTCTAAGTACCCGTGGGCATGATGTGACTTAATAAACATGTTTCTAAGCTGGTTATGGTAATCCATGCCTCTCACTGAGTACTCTGAAGATGAGCCTGGAGGATGACTTGCCAGGCACCAGCCTAGGCTACATAAGGGAGACCTTGTCTTAAAGACAAACAAACATACACCTTAAATAGACAAAAACGTATATCATTATTTGCTCTTTTTGGAGACACAGTGGGTGGTGAGTGAGCCCAGAGTAGGAAAGGCATTGAAGGCATGTGAGGCTGGGTCTCCAGCCCTCGAGCACATATCACCAGCTCTGGGTTGGTGTACAAGTCCTTGAGTCTCATGACTCTTCCCAGAGTCTGGCTCTATAATCAGTCCAGCCCTTCTTGAGAATCAAGGATGACACCTTGGTGTCCTCCAACCTCCTAGATGCTGGTCTGTCCAAGTAAGATCATCAGGCTAGGTGCTGAAAACCCAGCTGCCTCCTGCTGCTCTGATCCCTTTAGCTCCCAGTGGCAGAATGACTTTTCCCTGGGGGTTCCCTCCTTTCCATTTCTATCATTTATCTTTTCTCTACTCTTATTTTAAATGAGATCTAACCTGAAGATCATGCATGGCAGAGATGACCTCACGGAGGACTTGAAGTATAAGAAAGTGGACAAGATAATCATGCACTCGAGGTTTGATAGCTGGCTCATGGACAATGATATAGCTTTGCTCTTGCTCAAATCCCCATTAAACTTGAGTATCAACACTGCACCCATCTGCATTTCACAAGTCTCCAACATACTGGCATGGGATAACTGCTGGGTGACAGGATGGGGCATTACCAATACCAGTGAGTGACTCTGGGTTGGGTATTACATATAGGGTGGCCTGTGGCTGGTGTTCAGAAGGGTTAGAAAATTCTAGAAGCTCTGATGACCCTTGAAATTTTTCCTGGTAGATCTGGTGACATCAGACACCATGACATACCTTATCCTCAGTCCCTCAAGCAACCAAACTTCATGAGACTTCTGGGAGCCTAGAACAAATTGTGTGCTTACACTATAGAATATGAACTCTGGACAGCACCTCAGGGGAAGTTTGCAAAGCTCCAAAGTTGACTCAGTAGCATTCTGAGGGACTATGGAAGGACACAGGGCAGCAGTGTGCACTGACTCTGGATGATGGTGCCAGCATTGCTCTTCTAAGACCAAAGTCTAAGTATTTGAAAGCTACAGATCCAGACCAAGGGGAAAATCCTGAGTATAAAATATCCTTTGTAGAAGCAACCTGCAGTCCATTCCTAGACCCCCTTCCCAGTCATGCTTGTAAACTAATCCCTTTTGTCCATGTTCTCTGTGAGCATGTCTTTCCCCATAATCTTTCAGCAGGGAACACTTTGTAAAACATGCGGTTCCTCAATCTAAGCCCTCACACGGTGTCCTGGTGGTATGTTCCCAAGTCAGTCTTTGATGATTTTTATGAGGTTAAAAAAACCAACAACAATGAAGTTCTTAATACCAAAGCCCACAAGGATCATTCAATACACATGCCTTGACTGCTTCTTTATTCTGGAAGCATCCTAGACACAGGATTCGGCAATGCCCAAAGAGAAAGAAAGCATCCTCACCCTGTGAAGTGAGTGCTCCTCCGTGGTGAATGTCTCAAGGGGCCTAGAGTGATACAAGCCCATGTATCTGCCTGGGTTCTCTTGATCACCATGAACTCAAATACAACACATTTTCAGGACTGCAGCTGAGGCTTGTGTCTATTGCAGGGTCAGGCTGAAATTAAGCAGGGACCTAGTTCTAGGGAACTATGGATGCTTGGGAGATCTTGACAATCTTCTGGACACACCTTCCTCCCACATTCACACCAGAAGTTTTCGTGTCATTGGGGTGATGTGGGAGGGTGCTGGTACTCAACTTAAAGGGATCATTTTAGCTGAGACTCTGTCTCCCCCTGCTTCTCCTCTGGATCAGCTTTAGAAACCCTCCAACCCTCAAAGCTGCAGAAAGTTAATGTGAACCTGCTCAGATGGGAGTGGTGCTACAATGCTTTGCCTCTAATGACCAAGAATATGCTGTGTGCTGGGGCTCAAGTTGATGGGAAGGATGCCTGCCAGGTAATGGGCTGAGCTCAGCCTGGGGGAGGGTGGCTGGCTTTTCTATCCAGTGGGCGAGATGCCACACTGGTTCCCTGGGACCACTGTAACAGATGACCACCAGCTGGGTAGCTTTACTCAACATACACGATTCTCCCAAAATTCAGGATGAGGCAAGCCCTAAATCAGTATGTTCCCTCACTAGCTCTAGAAGGGGAGCCATGGCCATCTCCTAGTGTGGCCTTGTTCTAACATCTGTCTCAGTTAGGAGGGGGCCACCTCCCTATAAGGGTGGCTTCTGATTTATTTATTATTTATTTATTTTTCCCTAAGTCATTTTAAAATGTTATGCTTTATTACATTTTATCTTTTTTGTTTGTTTGTTTTTTGAGACACGGTTTCTCTGTGGCTTTGATTGCTGTCCTGGAACTAGCTCTTGTAGAGCGGGCTGGCCTCGAACTCACAGAGATCTGCCTGCCTCTGCCTCCCGAGTGCTGAGATTAAAGCCAATGCCCAGCACATTTTATCATTTTTAACACAATACTGCTCTTTTTTTGCATTTGCCATCTATCTATCTATCTATCTATCTATCTATCTATCTATCTATCTATCTGTGTACTTGGTAGATCCAACCAATTGCTTTTTATGAGGTATGACAGATTTTCATTTATTCTGTTCACTTTTGGCACCTGTGAGCAAAACAGAGAAATCTGGGCTGGGTGAAAATGCATTCCTGGGGAAGGCATGAGTTTCTGATACAGATACATCAAAACAGATGATATGTTAATCAATGATGACCTAGGTGGTGGTGATGATGATGACAGTGGTGATGGAAATCAGTTGTTCAAGTTGTCACTCATCCAATTGTTTTTAACTAAATTGCTTGATATCTACGCAACAGTCACAGCCGTGTGGCTGGAGAATTGAATAAAAACCAGACACTTGCCATCGCAGGGACTCTTCAGTACCTTTTGTCAAGATGCCCACACTTGAGCAGGCTGGGGGAGTAACTTCCTACGGCCTTTCCACTCTCCAATAACTTTTCTCTCCTAGGGTGACAGTGGAGGCCCTCTGGTTTGCCACAAAAAGGAAAACATGACCACTTGGTACCAGTTGGGGATTGTCAGCTGGGGCGTGGGCTGTGGCAGGAAGAACTTCCCTGGAGTATACACCAAGTTGTCAAAATACTTGAAGTGGATCGGAAAGAAGACAAAAGAGGCAGGAAAGCCCTATGTATATGTGAAAGACTCTGCATACTCTTCTCCAATCTCTTGCTGGGCTATCATGTTCCTGTATTTTGTGATGTTCTAACCTGGTGATTAAACGTGATACTGTCCCCAAGCCAAGTGTCCTTCTCAATGAATGATATAAGGAGCAAGGTGAACTCAAGTTCTAAGGGATGATTCTAGGGTCATTAGCTTCACCTGAACTCACTGCATAGCTATAGGAGAGTGCCAGACAAGCCTGGGGACCACCAAAGAGCAGGCAGAGTCCTCTTCCAGGGTTGAGAGTCTATTCTAAAGGGGGTGCTATTGGGTTAGTCTGACAGTGAGTAAATAATTGACCAAGAAAGTAGCTTGTTCAAGCCAACCAACCAAACGACCCGGAGGAAAGCCAATGCTACTTACCCCATGCACTGTGACAATCCTGTATGGGCCATACAAGATCAAAAACTCCCAACTTGCCACATAGGAAGAATCTATGATACATGGACTGGATTCTAGGAGAATTCCACATAATTATAGAGAAAACATAAAAACCATAGTGAAAACACAAAGATGATAACCTGATAAAAACCTGACTCAGGGCAACTGTTCATTCTGGAGTTTGCTCTCATGTTTTGAGAGAGTGCTTTCACTATGTCTTGCTTCAATGAGATCCAGGATTCCTGAGATTTACTGTCAACCCAATAGAAGGAGAGACTACCCAGGGACTCTTGAGGCAGGGAGCCCATTCACTCCTTTGTCATACACATGCATCCTTCTGCCTTTCCCTTGAAGAGTAGGCATAGAGTGAGACTAATCCGCCATCTTGTACCAAGTTGCTATCTAGCTGTCCTATGAGGCAGGCTGCAGAAGAGGCAAAGCGTCTTCCCTACCATGGACAGTGTTGGCCAAAGCCATCAGAAACCCTGAAGGGAACAAGGATGGAGTACACATAGTCAAAACTCCCTCAGTTGTGTCTGTGTTTTCCAAGCCTCTGCCTCTGCCCCTTTAATACCAGGAGGTGCCTTAAACCAGTGTAATAGAAATTATATAAATTTAGAATTATATAAAGGGTGTGTGTGTGTGTGTCTGTCTGTCTGTCTGTCTGTCTGTCTGTTGTGGGCATGATTTGGGGAAAATACATCTAGCTGACTATTGTCATCCTCTGTCTGTAAGTCACCTTCAATAAATTCATCTCATCTGGGTTGTGGCTGTCCATAGAGGCAGACATTGAGCTTACATCTCTCCGGGAAAAGCCACACCACAGGTAGCTCATGAAATAAACACTTTAAACTCTTCTCCCTTCATTTGTAGCTTCAGCCAATGTTGTTTCTAGAAAGTTCCCTAGAACATTTTCCCCTTCCTGTGATGGCTATTCTTGGTTGTCAACTTGACTACATCTGGTATTAACTAAAGCCCAAGTAGCTGGGCACAGCTGTGAGAAAATTTTCTTGAATGGATCATTTGAGGTAGAAAGACCCACCCTAAACACAGATCTTTTGAAGTAGGAAACTACACTGTAAGTCTGGGCCACATCTCCGGGGAGCAGGCCTCTATAAAGGACATGGAAGAAGGAAGCTTTGCTATTTGCTTGCTTCCCTTCATTCTTGATGGCAAACTTGTTCCTTCACTGGTATAGGACCTATTTCCTTGAGATTTTGGTGTATACTGAAGACCACTTCAGCTATTCAGCCTGTGGACCAAATGCCTATTCAGATTCTTGGACTTTCCACTGGGAGGCAGCCATTGTTGGGATAGTCACACCATAGTCTGTAAGCCACTCTAATAAAACACACACACACACCCGATCAGTTCTGTTTCTTTGGGGAACTCTGACTAATACACACCTCTGTTTCCATAGCTGTCATCTGGTCCTAAGTCCCACTTAAGGCTATGTTGGCTCTGGGAGATCATGATTAGCATGCTAAGATTCAGGACTGGGAAATGACTGAGACCACATGTTCTGGTTATATCGTTTTGTATCATCACACCTAGCTTTGTTTTTTGTTGTTGTTGTTTGTTTTTGTTTTTAATGTATGTGGGTGTTTGCCTGCATGCATGCCTGTACATCATGAGCCCATGAGCACGTCTGTGTATTCAGAGAACAGAAGAGAGGGTTGAATGCGCTGGGACTGGAGTAACAGATGGCTGTGAGCTCATGTGAGTACTGGGAATCAAACCTGGGTCTTCTGGAAGACAGTGCTCTAAACTGCTGATTCTGGCTGGAACCACTGAGCTGCCTCTCCAGTCCTGATGCTTAGCCTTTAAAACCCCAACAGGAAAGGTAGATGCTCTGCTTGTAAGTCCGTTGTGTTCACCAGGACCTTTGCTCCAATACTCCTGAGGGAGTCTTTTGTTTAATAACATCTCCTTCTCAAACACCGCACATAGTCACCTTTATCTGTTCTCGTGAACATCTCCAGGAAAAGAAAAAGCTTGCACCTGAATTATCAACAGCATGTAAGGGAACAGGGGGATTGTGGGTATTGAAAGCTTTACCTGGGACAGCAAAGGCAACTGGGGCAGTCTGGCCCTGGACTCCACCACTCACTGTTCTATACTGGACAATCTACTGACTTTCCTTCATGTCTGTTCCTTGGAATAAGGGTTGTTTGACCTAGAAACCTGTCCTCTACACAGCACGGCTCTGCAGTCTCAATTGCCCTAGGATGCCTGGCCTGCGTCTTGTCTAGTTTTAATTTGTTATTTAGCCTTTTTATTTCTTTAGACCGTTTCATACTGCCGTGCAGCTTGCCTGGAACCTGCTATGTAGCCCAGACTAACCTCAAACTTGTGGAAATCCTCCTGCCTCAGCCTCCATGGTGCTGGGATTATAGGCATGGACCCCCATTTCAGATCTGTATTTGGTATTGGAGATTGAATCTCAGACTTCATGCATGGTAGGCCAACACTCTACTGCTGAGCTGTGTCCCAGGACCTGACTCCTCCCCCACCCCACTGTCAGATCTGAACTTGTAGGTTTGAAATGGGCCCCTCGTGTGATGGACATTCTAGAAAACCAGTGTGTCTTTCTGGCTTCTTGACTGTGTAACTCCTCTGATACTCTTCCATTAGTGCTGTATGTAATGACGATGAGAAAGAGCTAGAACTGTGGGAGGCAAAGGGGCCGAGGACAGTCAAGGACTTCCGTCTCTTCCCGGCTAGGGATCTGAGAATCTAGTTCTAGAGAGGAGAACCCAGGGGATGAGCCCATTGGTTCTGGGGACCAGGAATCACCCTGATATGTCACAGAGAGCCTGCTAGGCATGAAGGCAGGCATGAAGACATGGAGTGACAGAGCCAGAGGGCCGCATCCACCCACCTTCATCCTCTCTGACCTGGTTTAGGACCACCAGTCTGTTGACATCTGCCACAAGAGAGAGAAAGGTAACACACAAACAGGAGCCGGGGGAGGAGAGCCGAGCTATTTGGGCCAGGAGACAGATGAAGACGCAGAAAGCTCTCTCTGTGGATTTCAGCCCATTTCTTTTTCCACTTCTGTGTTTGAGCTGTGCCCTAATTCTTTCTTGTTACAAGTCTGCTAGGGTATTGGAGCACAAGATGACAGAGACTCAATTCCAATGTCATTAATTTCATCTGGGACAGAGGGCTGAGGACAGGACCTTGGTGTGTGCCTTCAAACAGGAATGTGGGCCCACTCACTGACTGTTTAAATAGAGTGGAGAATTGTAGCCTTCTGGGAAAAGTACGGCTCCTCCCCATACCGGCCTGTTCCTGTAGACATGTTTTAAGTACTCATACGGAATTGAGAATCTCTATCCACCCTCTGAACTGGGACAAAAGAGATTGGGGCCCTAATAACAGGACAAATATGGCAAGTGACCTAATCAAGGCCCAGACAGGCCAGGCCAGATTAGCCAGTCAGCTACTGAGGAAAGAGATGAGATGGGTTTGACTTGTGAAAACTGTTCTACCAACTAGATGATTTTGAGAACTTGACTCTATTGCTCTGATAAGTGCCATCACTAAAGCAATATGAGGAGGAAAGGGTTTATTTCAGCTGGTAGCCTACACTTGCTCCTGAAGAGAAGTCAGGGCAGGACTCTGGAGGCAGGAACTGATGGAGAAATCCTGCTTACCAGCCTGCTCCTAATGTCTATTCAGTCTGCTTTCTTATACAGCCAAGGACCACCTCGTGGGCGGGGCACTTCCCATGGTGGGCTGTGCCCTCTCACATCAATAATCAATTTTAAAAAATGTCCTACAGACTTGCCTGCAGGCAAATTTTATGGGGACTTTTTTTTTCAATTGAGGTTCCCTCTTCCCAGCATGAGTCAAGTTAACAAAACTAACCAACAGAGAGAAACTTCAAATGCATATTCTGAAACAGCCCTATTCTAAATAATGCAGTATCTTGAAGCAGCACAGTTTCACTCAGTATGATCAAATTACTTGATTGAGAAAATCATAAAAGCAACAGATGGGTGAAAAAATTATGCACATTGCATACAAGGAGCAGAGAAAGGATGGGAGCAGATTTCCCTGGAAACTGCACACCAGAGGAGAGGGAAAGACAGTAAAACACACCTTTAAGTCACTGACAGAAAAAGGATTCATATCAGGAACAATATACTTGATAAAGTGGGAACAAGATACTTGATAAAGTGAACAAAAGCAGAACGACTCTATCAGTACACTTCAGGAAGGACCAAATCGTGCAAGCAGAGGGGTATAAGTAGAAATATGAGCCAACCAAAGAATAAAGAACAGGAGAAATGTCATGTATAGGCAAATGTAATTTACCTAAGCAAGAAAACCCCTCACAGGTCCTCAGGAGTTTGCTTCTTAATGGCCTCCAAGTCAGGTTGAGCTGATAACGAAGACAACCACCACACCTGTGAACCCTCCTAAAGCAGGGTGACTGTGCGACAAAGAGAACTTCTTCAAAAGGGGCATGGTATTGTTGCTAGGATGAATGAATGAATGAATGAATGAATGGGTGAAGAGGGTCACTGCATCAAGAAGCTGTGCAAATGCTGCTAGGATGAATCAGTGAATCAATGAATGAATCAATGAAGAGGGTCATCACACTAGAAGCTGTGTAAACCTTAAATGTTCCTGTACCTAGGGACAGAATCTCCAAATCACAAAGGAAATTCAGGGAAACTGTATGAA